CCCAGAGCTCCCCCGCCCCGGCGGGCCCGGCAGCTTTTGGCCAGTTTGGACAGGGTGGCCAGTGACCTGGACCGGCAAGAGAAGGCCATCACTGGGATCCTGCGGCCCCCGCTAGAGCAAGGCAGGGCCGTGCAGGACAGCGCCGAGCGGGCAAAGGACCTCAAGGTACCCAGCTGGGGCACAGGCTGGCCCCTGGCTTTCTGGTCTCAGGACCACACTGTGTGTGCTCAGTGGTGAAAGTCTGCCAGGTGTGACCAGGTGCTGGGGCCCAGAGACAGCAGGGCCATTCCTGTACCTCCAGGCTCTAGCTCCAGGAGCAGGCCCTCTGTCACGTCCCCCAGAGGAAGGGCTGGCAAAGCTCATGCCACGTCTGCGTGGCTGCGGGCCAGCAGGGTGACGGACCTGGTCACTGGGCACTTACTTAAGCCCCTGAACCTCCGTGGCAGGGCCTCTGGGAGGACAGGGCAGGAGGGTGCCTGAACCCTGGCAGGTGCCCACCGTGGCTCCCGCCTTGCACATGGTGTGAAGCTCCCTGTTCTCACTTGGGCGGTCTGGGGGCAGGGCTTCTCGCTCCCGTCTGTAGAAGAGGAGTCATGGCAGCTCTCCATGTGGCCTCATCGCTAGATGGGGTCGAGGAGCTGGGCCTCAAGGCCACGGTGATGGGGAGAGCAGACGCCAGGGCCCCTCGCACAGCCTGGCCCCACCATGCCCCTTCCGACACTACCCAGAGCCCCCAGCTGCACCTGCAGTGGAGGGCCACCCCACGGATACAGTAGGGTCACCATGTGAGGTGTGCAGGACAGGGAATGCACAGCTGTCAGTGTCACTGCTGGGACCCACGGCCCACCTTGTAGGGCTCCCAGGATGCTCCAGGATGCCCCAGCGTGGACCCGGCCTCCCTGCTGAATGAAGTCTTGACAACTCTTGGTGCCCACCTGGGCAGGCCCTTGCAGGAAGGGGGCTGCCCCGCTGTGGCAGACACTGAGGGGTCTGGTCCCCACAGAACATCACCAACGAGCTGCTGCGGATCGAGCCCGAGAAGGCGCAGAGAACGGCCGAGTGCGAAGCCTTCATCCGAGCTCTCCCGAGTAGCGGCACGGCGCCCCTGCTGAGGACCCGCGTGGAGGACATCAACCAGAAATATGAGCGCCTGGGGCAGCTGCTGGCCTCGGCCCAGGAGAAGTGGGTGGCAAGCAGGCACTGGGGAGGTCAAGGTGGGGTTAGGGCGTGCAGGGCACTCCCGCACTCCTGACCACTGTCCTCAGGATCGACGTGGCCAATCGCCTGGAAAAGAGCCTGCAGCAGGGCCGGGAGCTGCTGGCCGCGCACGAGAACCAGCTGACCCAGGAGGACACGGTGCCGGAGGGTAGCCGCGCCCTGGACAGTAAGCGGCAGAAGCTGGTGGTAAGTCGGGGCTGGGTCTTGGGAGTCTCACTCCTAGCCACCACCACCTGTAGACAGACAAGGCCCCGAGGCCCCAAGAGGCCCCTGGCCGCCAGCCTCCAGGTTCAGAACACCTCCTGTCCGCCACACTGGGGCTTGCACAGACTGCAGCTGCTCAAGGCACTGCTGCGGCCTGCAGGGTCTCAGGGGCCAGTATTTCAGTCAGGCATCTGCCCCAAACCTGGGTTTTCAGTGCCTCTTAACCAGCAGCTCTGGCACCCCAGGCCCCGGGCCGCAGCCCACGGGCCAGTCAGTGCGCACAAGGGGCGGTGGTCTCCCAGCCCCAGCCTTCGCTTTCCCTTCACAGTGGCCACGAGGCTCAGGCTCCATGTTTGCCTGCCTGGCCCCTGGAGGCTTTTGGTCCAGAAGCCCATGGCAGGCCCTTATTCATGATGCTCCATCCCACATCCTGCCAGGCCTTGAGGCCGCAGTGGAGGGCCGTTATCGGGTGTGATGTTGCCCACTGCCAGGGCTTAGGAGTCCTCGTAATGAAACTAACATTCAGAGGTTAGCTGGGCTTGAGGAGACGCTGAAACAGAGCCCAGCCCTTTCCACCCCTAGGCCTACCAGGTGGCCTTGGGAACTCTGGCCACAGCACCGCTGTCTCCTCCATCCCACAGGCCCTAGCCTCCGAGCTGCAGGCCCAGAGGTCCCTCCTGAGCGAGGTGGAGCAGAACTTGCAGGCGGCCAAGCAGTGCTCAAGCTCACTGGCCAGCCGCTTCCAGGAGCACTGCCCTGACCTGGAGCGCCAGGAGGCCGAGGCGCACAAGCTGAGCCAGCGCTTCGACAGCCTGTGCCAGCAGGTGGAGCGCAGGTGAGGGCCAGGCGGGGGAGGGTGGCTCGACTCCACTACGAGGCACCTAGCTGGGTTGTGGGGAAAAAAATCAATAATACGAAGTAGAAAAGTCAGACAGTGAGTATAACAAGCAGCCTTAGCTGGCCGAGGTATGCAAGCAGTTACCAGCTTCTCGTGTCTTTCCAAAAATAATCCCTACTACACTGGGGTACATCGTGGGGTACGTAGGAGTGGCAGGGTGTCACCAAACTGGATCTTACTAGTTTTTCTGTCCTGTACTCTGCCAACATCGCGTTGCCTCCACCTCTGTTTTCTTGTAAGTTCCCTGGTACCATAGGAACCTAGTGACACTGTTAAGAGTACAC